CACAGAAAAATCTAATGAGTTTTCTGTAAGTCATGCAAAGACACAAGCACGAGTACACCTACATAAATCTAAACGGCTCGTTTGTCTTCTCTATAGCTGACTTTGTTGTGAAGTGCTGTAAACATACAGATGTCTAGCTTTGTCAAAACCAAAAGCAATTCTGGCTTGAAACCAAGCCCCCACATTCATTTATGTATACGAAGAAGACGCAATGTTGCTCAGAAGGACCTAAAATAGAAAAAGCATGTGAGGCAGCTGGAGAATGCAGGACAGCGTGAGATGTTTAATCCAGCCTGTCCCCACCTGACCTTTATCTGTCTGACTCTCTGCTGCTGGTTATACATCTGTCTGTCGTGCCGATCTCAGTCAGAGCAACGTTCTAGTTTCTTGCTTCATTCTGATAGTTTTAGGAACATCCATTCTTATATATATAACAGATTAAGGTGAGCTGGTTACAGATGAGGAGATATAGAAAAATAGTTAGATCCTGGTGAAATCTAGAGTGAGAAAAAAGGAAAAATCAAAATTTTTCTTCTTGATTTTTCCAAATTAATAGTTTATGCAAATCCTGGGGTAGTATGGTGGCTCAGTTGGTAGAGCTGTTTCCACTCAGTGAAAGGGTTGCCGGTTCAAATCTTGGCCAGAGATCTTTCTAGGTGGAGTTTGTATGTTCTCTCCGTGCTGCATGGGTTTTCTCCAGGTACTCCGGTTTCCTTCAACAGACCAAATCATGCATGTTAGTCTGACTGGTAACTCTAAACTGTCCCTCGAGTGAGAGAGTGAATGATTGTTTGTCTTGTTTGTTTCTATGTGCCCCTGTGAAGGACTGGAGTCCTGTCCAGGTGTCCCTGTGATGGACTGGAGACCTGTCTAGGTGTCCCCCACCTCTCACACAGTGATAGCTGGACATGGGCACCAGTGACCCCCATGACCCGAAATGGAAGATGTGGGTAAAGATGATGAATGGATGGATGGATGGATGGATGGATGGAAATTCTGACAAAAGAGTGAAAATCTAAAAGGAAATGGTTAAATCTGAAGCCCTCCTCTGTTTCATTGCTTAATTGTAGGCCAACAAGTTTGTATTATGTTGTAAAGATTCTTTGATGAAACTCGATCTGACTGTCAGTTACAGAGATATTCTGATTTCCTTCTACTCTTCGACTATTTCTCTTGAAAACAAATCGGCACAATCGGCACTCAGTTAAAAAAATATATAATTTTAAAATCATAACTTCTTGCAGGAGAACTAAGGAAAATTTAGACTTGAATGTTCTTGACCGCTGTATTCATTCCTACCCATCTACTCACCACAGACTAATGTTCGGCTGCTGTTGTTACGCCATATTGTTTTACATTATTAGTGTTTAGTGTATATCTTATATCTTTAAACGTAACATATGGCATTCGTTTAGCGTATATCTTAGTGTATATCTTAAATGCTTATTTACTGTTTTTTGTTTTTTACATTATATTTTGCTATTTTGGGGTGTAACTAGGACCCTAAGTATATAATTTTGTTCCACCTCATGTACCACATGTGGTGAAATGACAATAAAACTGACTTGATTACTACATCTTTATTACACCTTTACTACATTTATTAATAAAAGCCCTGTTGTGTACCTGACTGTATATTATCCCTTCTCTCGGCTCCATGAACTTTTGCTCCTCAGAATGAATACTGATGACTGATCTGCTGATCCACTTGTACTGGGGACATAATCTCACTAATGGAAGATGTCCCCGGTGAACGAGGACACCGTGGACAGAGAAAGAAAATCAGCAGTCCTGAGACTGTCTGCCACACGCCAACAAGGAGGGGGAGGGACAGCAGTAAACCAGTTATACCTCTGTTGTTCATGAATGATCTACGCAGGCTCTGAGGTGCAACATCCTGAACTGGATCACATGCTTCTGTCTGTAGTATCGTTATATTGACATATTACACTCAAATATAACAAATTTATACATAGAAACTCAGATATGAATATTGAATAATAAGTGGTGAGCTAGAGTCAGGGTATGTTGAATGTAGAATGTTAGACAGATTTCAATTAGACAGAAAACTAGATTTATTGGATTTTAATAAAATCAATTTGTCATGGGCAGTCATGAAAAAAAAAAATGATATTTTGATAGTGGTCACATACTGGCCAAAAAAAAAATCTGATTTGGACAGCTTTTGACTGCATTATGAACATAGCCCCAGTAGCTTGGTGTCTTGAAGAGGTTTTTTTGTGTATATAATGTATATATTCCTGATCTGGGAGCAGCTTGAGATTCCCCAGGAGGAGCTGCAGAGTGTTGCTGATTTGAAAACTTCTGTCTCTGACCTGCACCCTCCATGACCCAACCTTGGACAAATGACAGACAGGAGTGATGAATGGTGTGGAAATAATGTATTAAATCTTTACAAAATAAATATTTGCTATAAAGCAGAGTTTTTCAGGGTGAATTCTTTAAAGTTTTCTGCTGCTGTCTCACTCTGCTATTTTCCAAAGAAATACTGTTGTCCTAGTTTCTTTCCTAGTTTTTCTTCAGTAACATATTACCTTGTTTTTACACTGCACACCAGCATCAAGCACTGTTTGTTTTGTAGAATGTGCTTTGAATCGTGACTTTAACATGTAATTGTTATTAAAGCCATGCAGACATCTAGTCAATCTGCCCAAACTGTGTAATTCAACAACTGTATCAAAGAGAGACTTTATGCACTGCTGCATTCAGTAGAAAGTAATTTAGTATTTCACTTTTCGTCATGCCTTCATAAAAATAAACCTCCATATTTATTGTTTAACTAAGAACAGTTTTCCTTTAGTCTATCTTCCTGTAAGTTCTCGTCTTTTCTTTTTTTTCTCACTGCCTAATTCTGGCCTTCCCTTTGTGTCTCTCACTTTGTCTCCCTGTCAGACATCTTTAAATGCTCCTCTTTGACTTCTCTTACGTTCCATCAACTTCACCACCTTTCTCTTTTCTGCTTCTCCCACAAGAACTGGAGAAAATCCAGAGTGTCATCAATAAATCATGGAGAGCAGAAAAGAAATGATATACAGAATTAGGCTCTGACACCCCCCCCCCCCCACGTCCCCTCCCATTTTATTTATTAATGTATTTATTGTTAATTTGATTCAATCCCAGGTCTGGAATCCAATAGAACCATGTAAATATTTAAAGTCTGTTTAAGTGTAAAGTAATACATTAAAAAAACGCACATATATTAAATCTGATAAAACATTTATAGAATTAGTGCAACCATATATATATACATACACATATATATATTGTAAATGTATATATGTACATTATATAGAGTGTATTTTTAGTCTTCTAAGTAAAATACTGTCAGATTGAGCCATTATTGGAGTTTAAATCCATATCTTCTCTCCGAACACAGCAGATTAAATATAGAGGAAGTTTTAATGAACCTCCGCAGCTTCTCTGGTCTCTCCAGGTCTGTGTCAGTTTATTTCTCTGTACCTGGACCTTCCTCCCTCCACCCCTCCTGCTCCCATCGGTCCTTGTGATTGGAACCACAGGGAAAGTGTAAAGTTGGATTGATGTTGTATGAATAGGATACCGTCTGAGGCAGTAAGTGCTTCTGCACGCTGCCATTAAGACTCCCTCAGCCATCGATTGGAGTGCCACATCTGTAATCAATAGATAGATGCCTAAATAAATAAAACTGTTTTCAGGTCATTTTATCAATGGAATCATATCCGTTTGTTTAAGCAGGTAACTGTTACTTTATAGAAAAAATTGCCTTTTGAAAGTTTGACAAGTTTGGTGGTGATGATCAAATAAAAAGCCTGACTTCATTTTCTACAAGATGCTTTGGCTCGTACAATCTTTAATTTTAAGGTTGTTGAGAAAAATGTTTCCCATGAAGTGGTGTCTCATGAGTCACTCTAACTGTTGGAGACTCCGCATGTGCGAAAAAACAGTACATGAACTTTCCATTGCAGTCCCACTGATTTCTGAGTGTTTGGATCAAGTGACCAGCGAGCCGTGCAGCCACATTCTGCAAAGACGGTTTTGTGTGAATAGCTTGACAATTTATATTTTGGACAGGGCTCTCCAACTTCAGTTGCAAGTGGTCCACATATAAAACCAATGGGTGTCCATCTGCTCCCAAAATAATAAATGAACTGCTGATAAACCTTTCAGAAAGGAAAGCATTAAAACTACCCAGCACAAAAATGTTATGTTTCAGTCAGTTTTACAAATATTAAGCTAAACTAGGGTCTGGAAGTGTCCAAGAGTCTTAACAGGACACAATAAGTGTGCATTATATAATGTGGTTTGTATAATATTGGTAAATGGACTGTACTTATAAAGCTCCATCCAATCTAATCAATGTACTCAAAGCTCTTTACAACACAATCTGTGCCCTTGTTTACCTCCACACTCACATTCATACAGCACTCTACTACTTTGTACACACATATTCATACAGCACTCTACTACTTTGTACAAACATATTCATACTGCAATGTTTCTGCCCTCTTCATGTCATGCTCTGCTCTCAAGCTTTGCTTCAGCCAGACCCACTCTGCATTAGCGGTTGAATCAGCTAGTTGACCAGTCAATTCTAGGACATCTTGTGAGTTTATAAATTTCACGTCCACTAGTGGCAGTCAAGTGATGGAGGATATGCCCAATGATCGGAGTGAGCTGGTGATGGGGAAAAAAAGCCAGACTCGAGGAGGATTTGATGCAACTTTTTGGGCCACATTTCCAGAGTGACAGGAGATCAGCACACTGCTCCACTGCTGCTGAAGAGGTCCGTGATCCCCCCCCCCCCCCCCCCGGTTACCGTAGATTCCCACAATGGTGAACCCGCTGCAGTGGTGGGCCAGCAACCAGCAGAAGTGGTTTAACCCTTCTGGCAACCAGCACTCACAGTGAGATCATTTTCTCTCTTGCTGGGAATAGCTTCATCCTGCTCATGTTGATGCACTTGTTTACTTACACGTAAATCAGGATCGAAAACCAAAAACTGTAAACAATGACACTATTGACAGCAAACGAACTTTGTTTAATCCACCACAGCCCGCCCCCGTTTTTTTAAATTATGTTTTTTACGTGCCGCGTGTTTCATAATAAATATAGGTTAATAATAATATGACATTTTGAGTTTCTATGACGTCACAGGGACTATTCGACGTCAACTTGACTTTTATATTCTTGAAGTTGACATTAAAAAAGATGAAGTCATGCCATCCATACTCTGCACCACAGATCAATTAGCCTCATGCCCTGCACCTGCTGCCTGCTCTATTTAAGAGCTCTTGTCACACAAGCTCCTTGCCAGATTATCAAACCCATTGTTGGTACTAGATGTCCAGCTTTTCCTCTCTGATCTCGTCTGAATCTCTTGTTTTGACTCCAAGCCTGCCTCCTGGATTTACCTTTATGCCTGCTCCCATAGGTTCTTGCTCTGCCCTTCTGATCCTGACAACGACAAAGCTTCCTGGCTTTTAGATTCTGGATTCTGGACTGCCCTTTGGATTTGTTTAAAGACCTCTGAGCCCCCGTGCATGACCCATGCTTCCCCTAACGGGCCCCAACTCTGGATTAGCCCATTGCTCATAGCAATCACTACACTTCTCTGCTTCTGCATCTCCACCAGCTACGTGACGTCATCATCCCAACTCCGAAACCTACCGACCACTAATTGTCATATCACTGCAGATTTGTTCCCACATCTGGACCCAGATTTGAGGAGTGCTGTTCCCACCAGCAGCTGCAAACCAATAAACTATTTAACCTTTATTGTTGTCTGGCTGAGTTTTTGAATCTTAAAATTAATTCTTGTCACATACATCCCTCTACTACATCTCAACAAAGATAAGCTGAATCTGTAGAGCTTTAGGTCACATTCATACACTGATGGGACACACATCAGAGGCAATGAGGGGTTCAGTGTCTTGCCGATGGACACTTCAACGTGACTGCTGGTGGAATCGAACCCACAACTCCTTCATTACAGGACAACTGCCCTAACCACTAAGCCACAGCTGCCTTTGTTTTTTATTTTTTTATTTTGAAGGTTTGACAAAAATATGCTTGAACTCAGTTTTATTGTTCATATAGAAGTGAAAACATGTAACTGCTTGAAGACCTGCTTCACAGCATTTATACAAGTTAGTTAGAGAAGAACTTGAGACATGTTTAATTACTTGTAAAAAAATGCTTTAAGTGCACAATGAGAAAAATTAAAGGACAATGTGATGTTAGGCTGTACTTATCTGAGGCACTGACTCAAAAGTCAAACTTTTTGCATTTTCATTGATTCATTCCAGATTGATAATCTCACTTCCAGATAGATTTAGAATGTTCTCCTCCTACATGCACAGCTTTTCTCTAAGTACTCCTATTTCTACTGGCAATCCAGAAATATACACATTAGGGTTACTTGAAACTTTAAATTGTCTCTAAAGTTGTGGGAGTGAAAGCTTGTGTTTCTTTATGTCTTTGTGATGAACTGGTAAATACCCAGGCTGTAACATCCTTCTCTTCAAATGACCACTGGTAAATAAACTGCACCTCGTGACCTCGGAGGCTCAGCGCCTTATCTGCAGCTTTATGTTGCGAGGAGATCTTTGGTGAAGAAGAGCATCAAAAGTGCTGCACAACAACTGATGAATGGCAGGCAGGAGGGTTGTTTTCCACAAACACTCCAATTCACATTTAATTTGATGGGTGTAAACATGTCACACAATGCCATGTTAAAATGCAAACTATCAAAGTTTTCATACAGTAACAAAACTAAACAGATGATATTTCACAAAAATGAAAAAAGAGTTCTACAGAAATCTTAAAAAGTTAAGTCAGGTCCTCTGGACGTTCAAAAAACAAACAAACAAAATTTATTTTGTTATAGTAATTCATAATAAATAAATAATAAAATAATAATTGTGTTTTTTGAACGTCCAGAGGACCTGACTTAACTTTTTAAGACTTTTTTGCCTGGATTATTGAGCATGCATCAGGATAGTTCTACAGAAACTTAACTGTGAATTCCTCTGTCAAGAAATTTGCACTTCTTCTTTTTTTGTTTGTTTGTTTTGCTATAAACTGAAAATTCAAGTTTTGAAACTTTCTGTCACAAGCAAGAAAACCAAGAACCTTCACAAATGCTGTTTGTTGTTTAGTCTCCAGTCACAGCTCAATGTGGTGTTGGCTTCTCGAGTTGTTCACGTAAGGCTAGCAGTCGTGTTGCTTAAATGTTTTAAACCATGTTCACAAAATTCTGACCGTGTTTTGTAAATAGTCCTGGGTGTTGCTGCGGGTGTCTGTTGAGGGAATGCTTGCACCGCCCTCTATATCTTATGATAATAATGTAGACTTTGTAACTTTTTCTGCTCTACTTTTTCTACCTTTGCTGAAGGGAGGTGACCCCACCTCACTGAACAATTATTGACCATTCTCAAAATTCTGCATTTTAGCCAAGGTTCTAGAAAAATTGATAAACTCTCAAATCAAAAATTACCTGGACTCATTTAACATCTTACTTCCCCATCAATCTGGTTTCAGGAAACAACACAGCACAATGACTGAGTCGCTGAAGGTTTTTAATGACGTTGTTGAAGCACTGAATGCTAATGATTATTGTGCTGCACTTTTCTTAGACCTGTCGAAAGCTTTTGACACTGTGGATTATGACATCTTGTGTCATAAGCTCTCAGAAATTGCTTTTTCAAAACACAAAATTGGTTGGTTCTCTAACCATCTTTCAGATCGGAGGCAATGTGCTCAACATAATGGTACTTCCTCTAGTTATTTGACAGTCAACAATGATGTACCACAAGACTCAGTCTTAGGACCCACCCTCTTTACAATCTATAAAGGTAATGTAGGTCAGAGCATCCCTGATACATCCTTACATTCCTATGCTGATGATACAGTTGTTTATTGTTGAGTTAAAAACAGTTGCTAAAGTTTTCCATCTTTTGTAATCCGCTTTCAACATCATCCAGTCAGATTTGTTCCATCTCAAACGTCTCCAAAATGCTGACAAAACCAAAAGGATGCTTTTTTTCAAACAGGAAGTCGATCCCAACAGCTCTTCTTTTGATTTTATCCTCGAATGTTTCCTCTATTGAGTTTGTCGATTCCTACAAATATTTTTTTAACCTTAGTCAATTTGCATCTCTCTTTTAAGCTCCATGTGGAAAACCTAGTAAGGAAACTGAAAGTTCTGAGATGGGGTAGAGGTAGGACAGCTGACCTGGGACCTGAAAGTCACATGTTCAATCCCCAGCCATTCCCACATGGCATGGTGTCTCTGAGCAAGACATCTAATCCCTAATTACTCCCCAAGTGCCTACATAGCTGCCCACAGCTCCACCTGGGTGCATCCCAGGCACAATGGGTTAAATGCAGAGAACTAATTTTGCCAGTATGGAACATACAGTGATGACAACACATAGCACTTACTATTATTATTATTACTTTATATTATATTCATTCTTGATGCAAGAAGATAGTGGAGAGGTAATATTTTATTATGTTGGAGACTTTTGAATGTTATGGTAGATGCAGTGATTATTCCCCATAAGAATCCTGGGAGATGTGGCTCCCTGTGTGCAGCTGCTGAGTTCCATTCTGAAACCACTATAGGACAAGGCAAAGGGGAGGGACGGGCCCCTGGTGAGATCTCTACCAAACTAACCTTTTCAGTTTGGGAAGCCAGAATGGGTCAGAACCTCTAAAGCATTGATGAGTGTGTACTTGTAAATGCATTGATCTTCTGTGATTGCTGACTGTTCTCCAAAGCTTTGTAATACAAGTAAAGAAGTATACACCTGATCGTTTTGGTATGTTGTTTTTTTTGTTGTTGTTTTTCACGACAGCGTCTCAGAACAATCTCAGTTTTATTTTCATCATTCTGGAGAGATACATTTGTATTTTGACTTCTGTATAGGAGTTCACTTTTGAGAAAAATCTTTTGAGGCTACAGCCCCAATTAATTAAGTCTACCCACAATGATGATAAATACTATTTCTTTATAATGGTCCAAATCTGTCTGCTTTCACTTCAAAACTATTTTCAAGTAGATTCAATCAAAAATATGGAGGTGGCTGCCAAGGTGGGCTTAAAGCAAGCCATGGTGGATACAATGTAGCTTGAGGTGGGAAACCAAATATCGTTTGTAGTCCAGAATATAGTTTTGTAAGACATGCTTGCAAAATTAAGATTCAGAGTTGCCAATTAGCTTAACATGCAAGTTTTTTGTCTATGAGAGGAAAAATACTTTCCTAAAATCACTTTGAAGTGTCTGCCCTTGTATACAAGACACTATGAAGAATTCCCTACATTATCAAACACAAGAAGGACCTACTTCAACAATAAGACAAAAACTGCCTGATTTAAACTGACCTCAACTACCAAAACATGATCAATACAAGTGCACAATAAAAAAATAAAACAATATTAAACAAAAATTTAAACCACATCTGCCGACCGATAATATATCAGTAGGGCCAATATTTTAGGCTGATATACATGTAGATGTTTGGTGACTTATTGGTATTGGTGATAATTGTCCCATTATGCGCCGCTATAAGCACTTCTATTTTTATCCCCTAAAATGTTGGAACCAGCTGCAATTGTACAATGTATCCAGCAGAGGACGCATGAAGACTACTTTAAAGTCATCGCCATTCATTTGAAGTTTCACTTTCACATTCAGCACAGCTGAAGCAGGGAGCAACTTTTGGTAGCGTATTTTACTGAACAAACCATGGTAAGTTTATTTAACTGATCTGTAAAATAAAATAAAAAAATCAAATAATAAATTCTCTTCAATGCCGCAAACTGGCTTGTCATTAGTTATGTGCCTCTCAAGTTAGAAAGCTAACGTTTAGCTAACATAGCATAGGCTATTGCCTTGTTAAACGTTATCCAGAACAATAAATCTAACGTAGAGGTAAAATATATCAGTGTTAGTAACGTTATCTTTATCGTCCTCAATGAAATGTAGTGTTTATCTGAAATCATTACTTCTCTACAAAGAAAAAAAAAACTCTGCTGCAGTCAGTACTAATTAGACCTTCATCATATGTGACTGGTTGTTTAAACAATGAACAGTGAATGGGGTTTCTTTGTTTAATTCTTATTTTTGTAATACACTTGATAACTTTATGGAGAATAATGGAGGATAGAAAATGTGAATGCTCGTAAGGAAGACCATTTTTTATTACCAATGCACCACTTGTAAACCTTGTGTGGGATTACATATAGCGTGGATCTGATTAGCTTCATGATTGCTAACATCTGCACTGAATAAACAAGCCCCACTCTCTGTTTACTTAGAATCTTGGGGGTGGACAACAAATAAAAAAATTTCAGCGATTATATCAGTGATAGGCATTAGCCCCTTCCCAATATCGGTATTAGCGTTTATCAATATTTCCATCTCAGTCGGGGCTCTATTTTGTATGTTAATGACTGCCAAGAAATCTGATTTGGAACAACCTAAAAGAGGTGAAACAGTTCAGCTGAATCCTTCAGTGAAGCACAAAGCATCCATCTTGTTCTAATTTTCACTGTCCATGAAGCAGAATTCCTGCTTCCTCTCTGCACACCTCACCCGCTCTGTGCAGCCATCCCTCCCTCATGACAAGGAAGTGATTAGGAGGAGAGATATTAGACCTGCTGAAATAGCAGCTACGCTGTAATTATCTTTGTTGAGAGACACAAACAGTTCATCAGTGGCTTTCTCTGCAGACCTAACTGTTGTCAGAATCTACAGAACACTCAACAACCAGCTGAGCTACTCTTGTGTGTCTGTGGGCTGCGTGCAGATATTCTTTTCAGCTTATTCAGAAATAGTATAGGCCATGAAAACACCTGATAAAATGAGCATGAACTCCACCTACACTCTCTGATATGAGCCAACATGCATGCAGAAGCACTTCAGACAGATATAGATATACAGTACAGACGTTATAACAGTAAGATTAGGAGGGTATTATGGGTAGAATTTGGTACCGGAAGAAAATCCTTAAATGAGGCTCACTATTGTATAAGAACAATTCATTTATTTTGAGCTACTGGAATCATAAACATTTTGAATTTCAGTCTACCATATTCCAGTTTTATTTTTATATTTTACCTCGCTGTACTTTTACTTTTGCACTTTTACTTCACTGTTGATGTACCCTAATATGGTTATTCTCACTTAAAATATAAACTTGAATTAGAGCACTGCCTTTGTGTGCTGAATATGTTATTTGCAATGAACAAACGTGACAATTTAACATTTATTTTTAAAAATATTACTGCTCATTTCTAGTTCGGTCACTTTGTTAGATTTTAGTTTTGAGATAAATAATTGTTAAAATACAGTAATAGTTGTGATAAGGAATGTCCTGCTTCTATGCTGTTTCATTTCTTGGGAACAATGTCAGATTAGGCGGCATGGTCGCTCAGCTGGTAGAGCTATTGCCTTTCAGCGAGAAGGTCGCCGGTTCATGTCTCAACCAGGGGCCTTTCTGGGTGGAGTTTGCATGTTCTCTCCGTGCTGTGTGGATTTTCTCCAAGTTTCCACTTACACTTTACTCCAGTTTCCTCCCACAGACCAAAAACATGCATGTTAGACTGATTGGTAAATTGTCTCTAGGCGTGAGAGTGAATGGTTGTTTGTCTCGTTTGTCTCTATGTGTCCCTGTGATGGACTGGAGACCCGCCCAGAGTGTCACCCACCTCTTGCACAGTGACTGCTGGTTATGAGGAAGCTATGATGTGTCTGACTGAATGTAAACTGCAGCTAATACTTTTTTAAGACAGCCTACTGGAAGCTGGAGGTTCAGGCTGGTCTATTTCAGTCTTTCAGAATAAGAATCCCAGCATCGGGTGGCGTTCCAGTTGATTATTTCATACTGTATCTTGGAACTTGGAAATTCTGACTTCTGAGTACAAAAGGAACAACAGTGCATCCTCTAACACTGTCATACAGCTGCAAAACAAAGGCAGACAGGAGAGAAGTGCAGAAAGTTTGTAATTCAAACGGATGAAGAATGTCTGAGTCCAGGACTAACCTCTAACTACAGACACAGTTGCTTCCTGTTAAGATATCTGGTTGTGGCAACAAAACTGTGTATGTGAAATGCATCCTTGTCTTTATTGGTGGAGGATGCATGCACGCACACTGAAGGAAGTGAGTCCTGCTCCCACTGATCGACAACAGAAGCCGTGGCAGAAGGATGGCATTAAAAACCAGCGGGGGATGTAGCGTGATAAAAACGTCAGATCACAAGCAGCAGGATGAATTCTCTAACACATTTAATCAAGTTACAGTTCATGTGCAGTCATCATTTATGCTTTGTATCCATATCCTGAAGTATGTGCCCATATGCCCAGTAAAAGGTAAATGGACTATATTTATGTAGTGCCTTTCTATCTTATCAAGATACTCAAAGCTCTTTACAACACAATCTGTGTCCTCATTTACTCATTCATACAGCACTCTACTAGATCTATACAAAGAATAAACAGTGCTTTATCACATTCATACACTGATGGGACACACATCAGAGGCAACGAGGGGTTCAGTGTCTTACCCAGGGACACTTCAGCATGTGACTGCTGGTGAAATCGAATCCCCAACTCTCCTATTGGAGGACGACTGCTGTAACCACTCAGCCACAGCCTAAACTGTCCTTTACATTATTTGTGTGAGACCCAATTTTAATCTGAAATGCACAAAATTTTAATGGACTTGATACATTTGCTATATTTAAAGAATTAAATGTTCCTTCCTTGACTTGTTAAAGAAAATGCATCTCACTGCAGCACATCAATTTTGCTCTACATGGTTAATTAACGGTGTCATAGTTATAGTGATGTATTTTTATTGGAAGTTGAAAAGTTCTGGGCTTTTAGGATTTTTATAGGTTACCACTTTGCAAAGTGTTCAACAGAAGATTTATTGGAAATGTTTGGAAACTCATAAGTAAATACCCTGATTCTTCACTTCCTGTTTGATTATCTGCCAGAATATGGTTTGCTTTTAATGCAAAAATACATTTTAAGAAACTCAGCTTTCTTTAATTTGTAGATTTTGTCCTTGCTTGTAAACCTATGAACTACAGGTTTTCTGCAGTGTACAGATGAGAAGCCTCCTGCATGCTCCAGAGTGTTACTCACCCAGCCAGTACAATGAAGAAGTCCAAACGGTTCCACGTATCTCCAAGGTAACACTTCTTGCCAAAAATCCCCAGCGCCACCATTTTAATCACCATTTCAATGGCAAAGAATGCAAAGATGAAGTCATCGAAGCCCTGCACAGACACAAAGATAAAACACACGGCGTACTGATAAATACAAGGATGCTCTTTATAAATGTAAAGCAAACTAGAAATTGTACAAAAAGTGTCTTCTTTAGAACCATAGATGTACACGTGGGTCTCATCATCAACATGCGTCACAGCACAGCAGCATTGCTGACAGCTCCACTTCAACTCATTCTTTTTTTGTTCATTGTTGTTTTTGTTTGTACTTTTTGCACATGCACTGTACTTCCACGATATGGGTATGACTGTGACACACTTTTGGAGTTGCGATCGTCAGTGAGTGGGGACTTTGGGATGACTTTTGGGGATTTTTGGGGACTCCGCAGCAGACATTTTGCCCTGGGTCCTTTGTTTGCATGGGTGCCATAAGAGGAAAAGAAGGAGAGGGAAGCGAGCCGGTGTTTTGTGCAGGACCCTCCAGAGATGCGGCAAATCCCGCCTCTCCCTTCAGTCCTGATTTCGGGTGTTCAACCTCGGAGGAATAGACTGGATTACCTGCATGCATGGATTTATTGCGAGCAGGACATGAGGAGCTGTTGTGTCTTTGTCTTTATGGAAACACGCCTGGAGCCATCCATCCCCGACTGCTGTGGCTCCGGACAACTTCTCTCTCTACCAGCTCGACAGAACTGAGTCGCATCTGTGACACCTAATATGTTTGTTGCTGCTGCACGATGTGGCTGTGTCATGTGTGTTGCTGCCTTGCCGTCGTGGTTCAGTTCATCTCATTGTTGCTTGCTGCCTGCACAGTGATCTGTCACACAACCTGTGTGGTGTATGTTGTGTGTAAGTGTATGTATCATGTTATTTAAGCAGTGTTACTGACCGTGAGGTACTTGATTGTACTGATTCATCCTACTTGCACCGTTGTATTCTACTATGTTGTTTACTATATTTCTGGACATACATTTTAAACATTTTCTTGACTAATATCCAAACAAGGCATAAATACTGTGATGTTTTATCCATTCCACCTGTGAAACTCTGTTTTTACTCTTTGCCCTATCATTAGGTGATCAGGGGGAAAAGAATTGCAGCCTCCTTGTAGCTGCGAAGGATTAATGTTTTTCTCAAACTGATGCTTGATGCTCACATGTGACTTCAGGCCTCATAATAATTTTGTTACCTTGCTATCTTAACACTCAAGTCAGAAACAACTTATGATCTGAAATATAAAACATGACCAGAGGCAATCGGCTTGTTGCATCAATCACTTTCCTTTCAGTACTGCCTGTCTGGAAGCAGCTCTCACAAACCATTATCAGACTAGACTGAAGACAATAACAAGGGCAAGAAACCAAGCAAGATTTGGCTGGAAAGAGTAAAACCTGCATTCTTAACATATGAAAATAAATGATAAATGAAAAACTGCAGAGGTGGAGGAACTGGAACTGAGAGGGGAAAGAACAAAGTTTAAAGTAAAAATAAAAGAAACATTCTGGAAGGAGATGAAGGCACAGGACACCCACTGGAAGATGAGTCACCTTAACATGAAGAGAGATGTATAAATATATCAAATACTGTTAGTTTAAGGAGAAGCTAGCCTGCCACTGCAGTAAAATTCACTGTAAGTAAAATGCTGTAGTTCAAAAAGGATTGTACATCTGTGACAGTTTACAAAACAGTCATTTCACTTTCCATAGCTTTGGAGCATCCATGCATCTTCCTAAATAAAAAATACAATTTATTCAACATGGCTTTCATTTCCAGGACATACAATCTGTCAGGAGGAGGGAGGCAGGTGGAACAGTGAGGCTACAAGGAGCAGAGGTCACAAAGGTGCAGGACTTCAAGGACTTGGGGTCACTGTCCAGGAAAATGGGGAGTGTGGTAAAGAGGTGAAGAAGAGAGTCCAGGCAGGATGGAGGAAAAAGACAAAGAGGAGACATATGGATCCATTTAGAGAGGACATGGAGGTAGTTGCAGTGAAGACAGAAATATGATTAAAGTAATCAATGTAACCAATGTAAGTTATTTTTGAAAATCATTTGTTTTTAGATTTGGATGAATCACAAATACAAATGACAATCAAAAAACCTGTTTTAACACAACCTTTAATAGCTTTTATTATTATTATTATTTTTTTTTTACAAATGTTTATCCTGATCATCTTAAAACTGTATTTAAATGATCCCACTGATTCCCAACTGGTGAGAAATGAAACTAAGCTGTTTTTTATGAAAACTTTAGAGTAAAACTCTAACATTAAAATCAAACTGCACATCTCTAGCACAAAACATTTTAGGAATTGAATAAATTATGATCTCTGAGGAAGTTCAGCATTCATGCTCAATAATCCAGGTAAAAATCCAACAATGTTCAGTCAGGTCATCTGGACAGTTTCTTCTTTTTTTTTTTTTGCGGAGACGTTTTGTCCTTCATCCAAAGGACTTCATCAGTACAGGATTATTGAATATGAACTTTGATGCTTTGAACCATTTTATATATGGCTGTTTCAGAGGAGTTGACAGGGAGAGGGCAGGCCGTAGAAACCATATTATTACTAGCAAACCGTTTTTAATTCTACTATGGAAGTGTACTGTTTGTGGGACTCAGTTTGTTTGTGGCTCCTCGGAGTGATGAAGTCCTTTGGATGTAGGACAAAACGTTTAAGCAAATAAAAAAAGAAACTGTCCAGACGACCTGACTGAACATTGATGAACCCTGAGGAAGCAACAAAGTCCATGCTCAATAATCCAGGTATAAAATCCAACATTTTTCAGTCAGGTCATCTGGACAGTTTCTTTTTTTTGTGCTGAAATGTTTCGCCTTCGATCCGGACTGAAAAATGTTGGATTTTATACCTGGATTATTGAGCATGGACTTTGTTGTTTTCAACCAGTTTGACACGACTGTCAACAAGGAAGAGGGCCGGCAATGGAGGAGGGGCGTACCAAAGAGACCGTCTAATCACAAGCAGAACTAGTTTGTTCCACTTTGGAGTAAGCTGTAGGAGGAAGAATCAGTTTTGTTGTGTGTTTCCTTGACTGATGAAGCCTTCTGGATCGAAGACGAAATGTTTCAGCACAAAAAAAAACGAACCGTCCAGACGACCTGACTGAACATCGATGAACTCTGAGGAAGGTTTGTAAACTCACTCATCCAGGTAGATTTCTACACAAAAGGTCAAATCATGTAATCTGGACCAGTTTCTTTTAGGGAGAAATGTAGGAAACTTTTCCAGATGACATGATTTAACCTTTTTTGTATGAACTCTGAGGATTCTCTATGAAACTATGGGCTGGAAATAAAACCATATATTCTTGTTCTGGTTCTTTAAAGGGATTTTCAAAATGAAGAAGGCATACAATTTTAAAGAGCATGGCAGCCTGTTGAGACAAAAACAAAGCTTAACTACCAACAGATTTCACAAAACAACTAAGAGAAAATAAACTCTGCGAGGATTCGAGAGGAATGGAGCTGCTCTCTTCCAGGATGGGCCCTGAGCGACTGCATGCTCTGATCCAAAACTAGATTTCTCTGCCTTTGTTGCTTATCACTGCTGAAAAACATTGTCAGGGGATTTTGGGTCAAGGTTTATGGATGTTTTTATCACCACTAATGCAGGTGTTTGAGTTGCCAGAGAGTTATTTTCTCTCTCAGAGAGAGCTGAATGAGGAGCTGAATTGATCCTGCATGTGCAGCTGGGAGGCCGAGGTCATCAGGGTTTGCCTCTGAGCCCAAAGCCGCTAAGCGTATGTAAAAACAAACCTCACACACTGCCCGGTGCAGATTCTCATGACTGGGCTCCATGATGTAGAACTTTTTATACATCTGTGTAACCTGTGGTGAACGTCTACCCTTGCAAGTAAAACCGGTTCAAAATCTTCTCGTGTCTTCTTGTGTGGCTTCTTTGAGTAAGTAAGATGAATAGAGGATATTTTTATCCAACAAATACTAATATGTATTGCAATATATAAACTCTGCATAGTCTGCTATCTACGAAGTGCCACAACAACTTAAAAATGAAACAGAGATTTCCCGTATGGAACATACATATAATTTAAAACGTATATATCCATGCATGAAGACATTGTCACAAATACTAGAGCTCATGCATGCTGAAACCAGCCCCTCAGGGACTTATGAAATTATCACTGAGCTGATGTCAACCAGCCAAACCCATCCTCATGAACTTGCTTAAACTGAGCACGGTTACATATTTCTCTAAATCCAAATGTTAATCCATTCAAGTCAACAGGATATGCTGGCTTGCAGCGTTCCCACTGGAGCGGACTGATGGGGCAGCACATGGTCACACAGTCCCTGTAATCAGGAAATTGATTTTCACAAACTTCTATCATGTCAGTGGAGCGTGAAACATGTTGCATGATCCCACAGAAGACATATCTGACTTGCTGTCCACACGCAGAGCAAGAGATGTGCAGACCCTTCATCAATCCCAAGCTGCCAAGGAAGGCATGCGTGCTTTTTATGAAAATGTGTCTGAACTTCATGATTCACTTGCTGTTTGTTCATGTGAATATTAGATTGGTTAGTCTAAACACATACTGGCCTTTAGGGGAACTGACTCTGGTGACCTGTACTCAACAGCCCACTGCTCAAATATTCACAAACTTCTACCAGCCACTGTAGTAAAATAGACCATAGAGGAAGAAAGTGGTTTTATATGTTAGCTTTGTTAAAACTTTCTGTGACCTTTATGATGAACTGGAAATGATACTGTCAATGAGGGAAAAATAGTTACATTATTGCAGCTAGCTTAGTCCCAAGTTATACAGGCTTCACAAAACTGGATTTAAAACTGGCGAATTAGACAAAAGTGCATAACAAACAGGTGGCGTAACATGGTGGTGGTGCGTAGGAGGAGAGCTAGCTTAGCATTAGCAACATGTGCTCCGGCGTAGCTTGGAAAAGAGCGACAGAACGTTGATTCCCACTTGCACTTTATTACATTACTTAGAAAAACATACATATGCCAGGTCTCCACGGCACTAAGTCTAATATTCATACATGAATATACAAAG